GCTCAGTCCAAAAGCAAACCCGCGTCTGGCGGTGGCTCTAAGCACTAAAATAATGGGAGTCGTTGGAAAATTCTCAAGAATCTTCCGTGGCTTTGTGTTTTTCTGATCTTCCTGCGTAAATCATTGGAATTCCAGATTCTTGTTGATATAGATCTAATCTGCTTGGCAAGGGGCTTGACTGCGGAGGCGGAGTGTTGTCGCCAACGTCGTTGATGGAAAGGCTGAGCGGGACGGGAGGGGGTGAGTGAGGCGGGGATATGGCTAAACTCCCTTTCGCACCTCTTCCACCAGTAACGCAACAACCATCTGACTTCAGCAGTCGTGGCCACTGCCTTTAACCAGTAACTCCTTCCATAGCGGTCAATGTTTCTTCGCTTATCCTTACTTTTGCTAATTTTATTAGTAGTGGGATTAGTGTACACAATCATTGTGCAGTCCAAATCAGGGGTATTCCATCGCCAGTAGCATGTTGTATAGAAGTTCGTGCATCGTTGCTATCAGCGGGAAGTTGTGTAGGAATTCCTGGGGGAAAATCGGAGTTTTTTGTTTTTGCCCTTTTTAGGCTTTATTTCCATTGTATATTTTATCTCCTTCACGGAATATGTTGAAATTTAGGGAAGGAGGGTAGGTTGTTACGAGCTGTGGAATCTATTGTTGTGTTGTGAACGAACTATCGTACAGGGATTCATTTTTAAGGGGGTCGCACTGATACGGACATTTTCTGATGACATGCCCCGAGCGATAGCACTGGAATTATTCTGCTATCACTTTCGCTAAAGAGAATTAGCGGATTATCGTTGACAGTTTTGGTGTCACTACTAGATTACTAGATTGCCGTCAAGCACCCCCATCCACAAATTTGCTTGGAGAGCATTATATGCACATTTTGTTAGTGCTGTTATGCTTTTCGAAATTTCCAAAGTAAAGATTCTACGTAGTATCCTGTCTCGCGTACTTATCTTCCTCAGAGGCCAGCTTCCGCTGTAGATGCTAAAAAACCGCTGTCATATATTGAAGTCAGCCACTGTCGAGACCATATGAAAATTGTATTATGTAAATTTGGTTGTTTTGTATAAACAGGGCATTGGTGCTGGCATGGTATTGGGAACGTAGGTTTGACTGGAGGTTTTACATATGAGCTCAGCTTGACGGCATGGCTCCCCATGCACCACCTCATTCCTTGAAATTCGGACTGGAATTTCTGTAGAGTTGTCCAGGGGAGTTGATCTGGGGGAAAATTTGTGTTCATGAGGAGCTTCGCAGACAATTCTCTAATCCAGTTCACTTCATCGACAAATTTCACCAGAAATTCGCAAGGATTGCGAGGAGTGGGGTCGTATTAAGTAAGTAGGGCCTCCTTACCTTTGGAGGCATTTTCGAAAACTACAGAAATGACTAGTTTTCAATTCATAGGTGAGGTTGTCCCTTATGGGAGCATTAGATGTATTTACCTTCCTTATAAATAGCTGACTTGCAGCTAGTGAACGGCTTCTAACCGGCGAGACCCATTTTTTTTCTTCCTTTTTATCATTGGAAAAACCATTTTCGCACCTCATTGTGGCCTTTCTTCAGGTCTCAGGGCGCTTCGTTAAGGATGCGTGCATTATCTCGCGCTGAGCGTTCATCAGTCCGCTCAGTGACCTTCGTGTGACCCCGACTGGCATATGGCTGCAGCCCGTGACGCGCTTCGCGTCCACCTAGACTGCCTTCAAGTTCTTTTTTTAACTCTCTGTATCCAGCTGTCATTTATTGTTTATTTTATGGTCAGTCACAGCCGCAAGTTCTGCAAATTAGCATTGCTACGCGATAAAAAGCTGCCTTCTCTGTCGAGTTGAAAACGAAGATACCCTCGTCCTCATTTTAATTAG